CCTACTGAACATCAACTTGTCTATTTTTGTTGTGCCTGACATATTATGCTCTACCAAGTATACATTATGCATTCCTTGTCTAGCATGTATTATCCCCCTTTCCAAATATATTTCCCAATTTCTTTCTTAAAACAGCACTTTCTCAAAGGAGTACCATTCCTTTAAGAATTACAAAGATTTATTTCTGTTTTGCTTCTTGCTCGGTCAAATGTATGAAGGTCGTGAGACGGATTATTCTTGGTTAAATACTTGTTACTTTTCACTAAGCGCTGTTTGTTTTATAATTATTACTTCAGGTGCAATAACATTAATTCTTAGGAGTGAAATATTCGTTCCGCTTTACGCCGAGTTGGGAAGTGTGAAACACGGCTGATGGGAGAAGGAAGAGACAGAGCTTAGGATAACTAAGGGAGAAGAACTTAGGATAACTGGAGAAGAACTTGGGATAACTGGAGAACTTAGAATATCTGGAGAAGAACTTGGGATAACTGGAGGAGAACTTAGGATAACTGGAGGAGAACTTAGGATAATTGAGGGGGGATATTTGGGACTGTTGTCTTAACAAAAGCGTGTTGTAAAACTTTTGAGTCTTGTCTTCAGCTTTTCTTGCCAACATTTATTTGCAACTCATTTTTCCCCCCTTCTTTATTACCGCAGTTTAAGGGTCAGTTTATACATTATTCAGACAAGAATCCATAATAAACATCGTAGAATAAACAGATAGTTGCAAAAGCTGCAACAATAGCTCCTCCCTGCGAGGACGAGCCTGAAATACATTGTTTACCAGTGACTACCTGTCATGCCTACCATTGTTTTATTACATATAAACCACTGTCTGTGTAATGCGTAAAAAAAAAGTTGAATCTGAATTTTTTGAATTTGAATATTGATGAAGCGGTCGTAATCTAATGAATTGGAGATACGCCTCTTCTTCCTTGGAATAAACATGGAATAAACATGATCACCTATTAGCGAGGTGTTGTATGCCCCCTACGGGTGTAGTCCTTCCCCCTTGAATAGACTTGCTGGCAGCCGCTGTTATCTGTGGTGCACTCTTTGTTTATATTCTTCTTTACTCAGGGTCAATAAGGGTTTTCATCCCGAGAGAGTCCCACCTCTCTAGATTTTAACGCTCGTGGGGTCGACAGAGCGAGGCTCATACAAGTTGTTCCTCCACGAACTGTTCCATTATGGTGAGCAAAATGTAGTCACTAAAATCGTATGCCCTCCAAATGCAAAGGGTATCACTTCAGGAAGTCTCACATCTCCAGATAATCAGAATGTTTATTGGTCTATTAGAGTTTCTGAAGTGTATGCTAGGTATGCCAGCCTATTCACAGCCTAATACACAATAATGTTACCTCCAGATGGCAGCAACCATGAGTATGGTGGGTTAAGTGGAAGGCAGATGGCACCGAGAGGCACTGGGCAGCTGGCTACAACACTCACCTTCACTCCACCACAACCAAGGATGCTGGCACAGGCAGCTGATTATACCAACGATGAAGACCCTCATTATAAATCAGATTCAAGAACCTTAGAGAAAGAAGATATTAAATTATCCAGTTCTTTCGCTGCAGCACTTGCGAAGCAAAAAAACGAAGACGATGTCAAGAGAGAATCTTTGGATAATAAGAACGAGGATGACATATATAATGACGATGATACCTATGGAGAGGAGCAGGACTTTGTCTATGACTGGTATGAAGACAATTACAAGAAATATAAAAATTATGTGAAACATAACTTGTTTTCTGACTTATATAATCCAAGGTATATCATCGAAAACACAGGATTATGCAAGAGAAACTCGAAAATCTTTGTTTTTATAAACTCTCGAGTGACTAACACGAATGCTCGTCAGGCAATACGAGACACCTACCTAAGAGAACTCATTAAAGGCAAAATTTCTTATGGTTTTCTCATTTCAAACCCAGAAGAAGACTTAGCCATGCAGGCGTTGCAGGCTGAAAACAGTAAGTTCGGAGATGTTATCGTGGTGGGGAGCCAGGAGTCGTACCCCAACCTCACCCTCAAGACGGCACACATGATGCACTGGACACTCACTAACTGTCCTGACATTACCTACATTGCCAAGGTTGACGATGACGTTTACGTGAACGTGGCGAGATTCCTGCGTGTGTTGAACGTTGCCAGGACACACACTATCATAGGCAAGGTTAGTGAGGTTGACCACCTGTAACACCCCTAGAAACACTTCCATCCTAGACAAGGTGAATGAAGTTTATTATTTCTAAGTGTTTCTAAAGATTTCAACTTCTAAATTTGGTACCTTCTACGTGAGCGTGAAATTTCAGTTTGTCTGGAGAGGAAGATAGAGATCTAGCATGACTCTGACTCTCAAACACATACTCTTTATTACAATTCTTTTGTCTAATTCTTATTATTCTCACCACCTTGATCTTTTCAGTGTTCACTTTTAACTTTACACACTCTTCGAAGTTCCTTCACCATTCTTGACAGCCTTTCTTCTTAATCCCTCCAAAACACTGCCATTTATCAACAGCACAAGTGCCACCTCTCATTATATATCAAATTCATTGCCATTTTAAGATTACATCTTTCACTTTATACTTAATTATCGACTTTCACAACCACAATAATAAATTAATTAGCCATTACGGTGTCATTAAATAAACCCTAATAAACATGTATATATATGACGAGAAGAATGATAAAAATAACCACTTTTAATGAATGCTCATTATTTAAATGATTTACTGGCTTCATTTATTTCTGAAAAAGTAAACAATTAATATAAATTAAATTCTATATTTTTAAATTTTGATAGACTTTTTTTTTTTTTTTTTTTACTGCTACAAACTAAGAGTATGTCATTACACGTATGTCATTACACAACTGGAAGTAGGTCTACATCTCTGCAGGTGTGTAGCACATGTGTGCCATTCAGGGGCAGCCATGTGCCACTGGGCCAAGCACTACGAGAATTCGGCAATGTAGTGACTAGACGTCATATGCCCCTCACTACGTACCCATCCTTCACCATGGGTCCAGCGTACGTCATCACCACTGGTAGGTGCCACCGGAAACATCCCCCCTTCCTTGTCGAACAACCTTTTATTAGAGAATAAAAAGGCACAATACCGTGACTTGAACAATACAGAAGTAACCTGTACAGAGGAGAAACAAACTTATGACGACGTTTCGGTCCGATTTGGACCATAGACTAATCACCAGTTAATGGTCCAAATCGGACCGAAACGTTATTATAAATTTCCTTCTCCTATATGAGGGTTATTTATATGTAATCCTTTATTAGGACGGTGTTACCCCAGTAAAAAAAATATTGCGCAAAACCAAAATAATTGTTTCTCCTCATAACGATGAGGAGAAGTAGATTCTGAGATATATGAAACTACATAACTGAAAAGTTTCTTTCATAAACAGATATCATCCCGCTGCTGGTGGAGGCGGCGCAGCAGATGGTCTATTTCAGCTACGAGGATGTGTTTTGGACGGGGTTGGCGGCTGAGGTGGTGAGCAGGGAGAGTGGGATGAACGTCGGCTTGAGGGACGACCCGGTCAGCATCAAGATGAAGTACCACAAGATGGGATTCCAGCGTCTTCCCGCCGTACAAGTGAAGCGGGAAGATGTTTCGAACTGGCGTGTGGACCGCAGGTTCTCCGAATCCCTGCAGGTCGCCATAGGAAAAGCTCAGAATGCCGTCACCGTTCACAATGTCAACTGGGACAGAGACAAACAGTTTGTGTCAGCCTTGCAAAGAATCAGATTCTAACATAACATATGGAAAGACACGGTCTGGCTGTTGATGAAACTCAGCATTTCATGTTTCTAGTCCTTCAAGCGAAGGGCTTTTAATCTAAGGAATTAAGCTGCTCACCCCTTTCCCTGATTAAACCTGAGTGCCTTCCATTCCCCAAGCTCTACATGGCTCTTACGAGCTTGGCGCTTTCCTCTGAATATAATCATAATTCTTGTCTTTAAATGATATGTAAACGGAATAATGATAAAGTATTTTATTGCTGTTCAGTGGTTTGTTCATAGCCTTCATTTTTCTTAGTACAATTTATATGCCATCCAGGTTCATGAATTTAAATTTTGTATTAGCAAGCAGCTGTAAATCACCTTGCTGTACCAGCAGGTGGTTGCAGATCACCTTGCTGTACCAGCAGGCAGTTGCAGATCACCTTGCTGCACCATCAGGCAGTTGCAGATGACCTTGCTGAACCAGCAGGCAGTTGCAGATCGCCTTGCTGCACCAGTAGGTAGTTGCAGATCACCTTGCTGCACCAGCAGCTGGAGAAGTGCTGGACAGACGGAGGCGACGTGCTGACCGGTGAAACCCTTCCAACTAAATTCAAATTCAAATTCAAAGTTTATTCTCTATAAGGATTACAATGCTGAGTTTACAGAATTTGGTTATTGTGTGGTTTACATGTAGTAAAATAGTAATTACAGAATGTACCACTAGAACACCTAGCATGGCTAGGCTCCATCACTGCTCAGAACCAGCAGCCTGACTATCGAACGTACTCGGCCCACGTCCACCACACTAGAGAATCATCATCTCTCGAAGCCTGCATCCCAACTCAGTCGAAGGAACCCAACCTCTCATCAGCATAAAAGAACCATCCCGCATCTCTCTGTCGACCGAACCCAACGAACTCAGATCACCATCAACACACAAGAACCATCAGCTCTCGAAGCCACAGAATTCAACCCACCAATCAGCACACAAGAACCATCAGCTCTCGAAGCCACAGAATTCAACCCACCAATCAGCACACAAGAACCATCAGCTCTCGAAGCCACAGAATTCAACCCACCAATCAGCACACAAAAGAGCCTTCAGCTCTCGAAGTTCTCATTAAAACTCCGTCTACCGAGTCTTCTACCACTCTCATTGTCACATCCCCCGGCAAAGAAGCTTATACTGACTCATCAGCTTTATGCTTCGTTTAATTCTATAATCTCAACTGCTGCAAACAAAGGACACTAACTGATGCAACAGAGGTTATTGAACTCAAAGCATTTCCTTCCATTTTCATGATTTTCTCAGCTGACCTTCATTAGAAAAACATCCATGGCTCTGGAAGAATTTAGAACTATAAATAGATTAACTATATTTCTAAAATAACATACCAAGTACTGATCTAACTAATCTTCAACACCTGACTAAATAATCTGCGGCTTGTGCGATTCGAAATAATCTCGTAGATACACTCCACAACAGCTCTATAAACAGACAATATCTGAACATACTGTAATATAGATCAAATGGCGTAATGTTGACAAGTGTGAAGACAAAAACATACTGTAACAACGTTTCACTCTACGTAGACCTTCATCCACCCATGGCTTAATTAAGCTCTGCACAGAGCGAAACGTTGTCCATTAAAAACTTATCTTGCAGCTTGTGTCTTTGTTTTCATATTTTCTCACCAGTATGAGTAAAAAGGTATAAGTTGATTGATCGGTAAACTTGGGCTTAAAACCTGTAGACTACACGGTGACCTTTTCACCAGAGACTTTACGTTAATCCCTACAATAAGGATTAAAGTAAACTCTCATAGACACACTCATAGACACGCACCTTTCAAGGTACATATCCTATGCATGAACAAGTGAATCGCACAGCAGGAAAGTACAATACTATCTACACTACACGTTGCCACAATAAACAAAACATAAAAAAAAAAGCAGGGTATTTGCATGATTTTTCTTGCCAGCAACTGCAGGAATTTTATTCCGACGGTGTTGCAGATTCCATTGTAAACTTAACTCTGAAATCTAAGGAAGATATTTTGAAGGTATTTATAATTTCAAAAAATTCACCTGTTTAATAAAGCCATCATCATTATCATTTCTATAATAAATTAATTAATACGGGTTTAACTGCATTTGTTCGAGTGATTTAATTGCCATTGCAGTGACTCCGTAATCCTAGTGTATCTTTAAGAGGTCTGTGAGTTGAAGGTAATATATTTTGTGTTGCAGCCGGGGAGGGTTGTGTGTTGCAGTGGGAGACTGTGTATTGCGGTGGGAGATTGTATTGCAGTGGAAGGCTGTGTATTGCAGTAGGAGGCTGTGATTACTCTTATCTGCAGAGAACGTCTGCACTAAGCTCATTGACAACCACGTCAAACTCTGCCTTAAGAGAGGTATTACCTGGGCTAAACCTTCTCACTAACTTCTTTCTCCCCCTTGATTACCACATTTTTCTCCTCTTATTCTCTCTTTTTCCCCTCTCTCTGTCTTTCTGCCTCCCTCTCCCTCCCTCTCCCTCCTTTTATACAAGATAACTAAAACAAAAACACACACACACACCACTGTATTATATATATATATATATATATATATATATATATATATATATATATATATATATATATATATATATATATATATATATATATATATATATATATATATTCCTTGGGCTTTATTCCAGTTGATAGGAAGCAAGAGCTGGAAAAATGGATTGAGTAACAGAGCGCAAATAATGGAGAGAAAAAATGTTTCTTTGCTACTTTTTCCTCGTCACACAGAAATGGGTGACAGCTTTACCAGATTTACGAACTCTCCTCCACACACTCTGCCTCACACCCTCCCTCATACTCTCTCTCACTCTCTTCCACTTTCACTCGCATTCTCCTTCACTCTTCCCACACTCTCGACCACAGAAGCTTCCTTAAGCATTCTCCTTTTATTTCCTCCCTCTCACATTTTCCTTCACTCCTTCTCTTTAGTTTTCTCTCTCTCTTTCTCTCATACTAGCTATCTCACTACTTTATCAGCTATTACAATTGTGGAAGGCAATTGTAGGCCCCTTACACGTACTGTGTTTTCTCTTAACCATTAGTACACTAAGAGAAAACACAAAAAGTGTCTGGGGCCCAAGACTGTTTAACAACGTCCCATCACACATAAGGGGAATTACCAATAGGCCCCTGGCTGTCTTCAAGAGGGAGCTGGACAGATACTTAAAGTTGGTGCCGGATCAGCCTGGCTGTGGTTCGTATGTTGGACTACGTACGGTCAGCAGTAACAGCCTGGTTGATCAGGCCCTGATCCACAGGGAGTCCTGGTCGTGGACCGGGCCACGGGGGCGTTGATCCCCGGAATAACCTCCAGGTAGACTTCAGGTAAGGCCCTTGATATTATGGCAAGAGAAATACTTATTAAAATTCGGATACATGGAATCACAGCCAAAGGCTGGAAAAAATAAAATGATAACTGGTACGTCTGTCTTTTATGAGAGTCGCACTGTAACAGAATTTTTTTTTGAGTGGCAATTCAGAGAGACGTATACTTTAACCACTGTGACCCTTGTATGAGGATGTATACACGGAGAAGTGTATGTCCCTCTGTGTGTAGACACTCGGTTTATTCTTTTTTTATCCCTGTTTTAGGGATTAAAGTGTTCTTGACAAGTGTTGAACAGGTTCCAGTCAGCTTTGATGACTATCGTGTAGTTAGTAGGTTATGGACCCCATTAATTAACAGTTAATAACCAAACCAGTTAATTAATAAACCAATTAAATAACCACTACCATAACGACCATCATAAACACACTAACAACACCACCATCACAACAATCGCTACCATCACCACAACCACCATCACAACAATCACTACCATCACCACAACTACCATCACAACAATCACTACCATCACCACAACCACCATCGCAACAATCACTACCATCACCACAACCACCATCACAACAATCACTACCACCACCTCAACCACCATCACAATCACTACCATCACCACAATCACTACCATCACCACAACCACCATCACAACAATCACTACCATCACCACAACCACCATCAGAACAATCACTACCATCACCACAACCACCATCACATCACTACCATCACCACAACCACCATCACAACAATCACTACCATCACCACAACCACCATCAGAACAATCACTACCATCACCACAACCACCATCACATCACTACCATCACCACAACCACCATCACAACAATCACTACCATCACCACAACCACCATCACAACAATCACCACCATCACCACAACCACCACCACAACAATCACTACCATCACCACAACCACCACCACAACAATCACTACTATCCCCACAACCACCACCACAACAATCACTACCATCACCACAACCACCATCACAACAATCACCACCATCACCACAACCACCATCACAACAATCACCACCATCACCACCACCCCAATCATCACCATCATCCCATTTTTATTCCATTATATCCCCCTCCTCTTCACCCTTCCCCTCATTCCACCAACATATCAGCCTATATAAACCTTTTTCTCTCGTTTTATACACCATTTCTTCATTTGTTTTATGTTATAATAAAAAATACATTGTTGTAAACTTTCTCGAGGAAGACAAGACTTGGAAATTTAATATATTATTAATTAAATATATGTTGTTACAACTTTTAATTTCTTTACTCATTAGAAGAGAGTAAAATATTGTGATGAAGGGTAATGTTTGTTAATGTTTGAGAGAGAGAGAGAGAGAGAGAGAGAGAGAGAGAGAGAGAGAGAGAGAGAGAGAGAGAGAGAGAGAGAGAGAGAGAGACAGACAGAAAGAGAGAGGTATATATAGAGCCCTTTGTTCGTTGTTTTAGTGGTGCTATTCATCACATATTGTACGTGTAGTTCTTGTACAATATACCATCACCAGCAATCACCACCACCACCACCACCACTACCACTACCAATCACCACCACCACTGACCAATAAAACCTACAAGAGTAGAAAAAAACGCGTTCTGTTTTCCCAGGCTAAAACGTTGAAAAACAAATGTGTTAAGAGTGGAGTTAAGGTTTCTATCACTGGAGTGACCACCAACAACCACTCCACCAACAACCACTCCACCAACAACCATTCCACCAGCAACCACACCACCAGCAACCACTTCACCAGCAACCACACCACCAGCAACCACACCACTCCACCAGCAACCACACCACTCCACCAGCAACCACTCCACCAGCAACCACTCCACCAGCAACCACACCACCAGCAACCACACCACCAGCAACCACACCACCAGCAACCACTCCACCAGCAACCACACCACCAGCAACCACTTCACCAGCAACCACACCACCAGCAACCACACCACTCCACCAGCAACCACACCACTCCACCAGCAACCACTCCACCAGCAACCACTCCACCAGCAACCACACCACCAGCAACCACACCACCAGCAACCACACCACCAGCAACCACTCCACCAGCAACCACACCACCAGCAACCACACCACCAGCAACCACTCCACCAGCAACCACTCCACCAGCAACCACTCCACCAGCAACCACACCACCAGCAACCACACCACCAGCAACCACACCACCAGCAACCACACCACCAGCAACCACACCACCAGCAACCACACCACCAGCAACCACTCCACC